AAAGAAACTTGTAGAGAGAAGCTTGGGGTTGGAAATTTAAGGTTACCCTAGCACCACCATTTGGGGCTCATCTTGGGTTGTTTTTGTCGGCATTTCTTCATGACATCAGTGAATCTACCATTTGGGGCTCATCTTGGGCTATTTTTGTCGGCATTTTTTCGTGGCATCGGTGAATCTACCATTTGGGGCTCATCTTGGGCTGTTTTTGTCGGCATTTCTTTGTAGCATCGGTGAATCGAAAAAATGAGTCAATTGTAGGTGGTTTTGTTGTATGAAGTTCTTTTGTTTTAGCTTTCTTTGAGATTGTACGAAGTAACTAAACATAAACATACTCCATCTTCAGTGAACCACATAAATGTACGTGTGCCTCTCTATTTTTATTTGTGTTATATTTTGATGATTTTCCATATTATTTGCTTCTTTTTTTTTTTCTTTTTTTTTCCAATTATATTGCACTTGTAATTGCATATTGGGCATGTTATTTGAGTGTTGAAATCATTGTGGTGGAGTGCTCACCTCATCTAATGAGATTTGAAATATCCCGATTTGCTAAAAAATGGGCAATTGGGTTATCTCGATTTTACAACAATTACTTTTTCATAATACAGAAATACAGCATATCTTATGGTAGTGCATATGCTTCCAAATTATGTTACAAAATACGGACGTGTTTGTCAGCTTCTTGTCCAGTGCATCATACTTGAGGAAAATATGGTGTATTAGAATTGTTTAATTAAATTTATGTGAGAAATTTTTAGGCTAATCACCGCTGATTATACTACCAGTTATCTACGTACTCTATTTTAGCTCAATATGAATTTTTTTTATATTGCATGGTTGATAGTGTATTTGGCTCATAATCCTTCTTGCTTTTTTACTTCAATGGAAAACAATATACATTTGACGTTGAATTTCCAATAAAGTTGTCAATAATATTCTTTGCTTATATATAATTGCAAAGACCCATACATTTATTCACAACCTTTTTATCATGAAGGATTAAGTGTATGTATAAGATAGCTACACAAAATTTAGGTTGCTTGTGTGGGCTCTACGTAATTAATTGCAGTGTAACTGAAATTATACACAATAAGTGATGTGGGGGCATTTGATGATATATTTAAGGCAATAGTGGGTCCATTCATTGAGTGATTTGTTGAGTGTGATATATGTGTAATAGTGCTTTCCATAAAAATAATTTGACAAGGGTTAGTCGGTATCATTCAGTCTAAAGATGCCTTGACACCCCCCTTATCTCTGCAAGTAAGTTTTTAATTTAAATTTTATTTCTAGTTGCTAAATGTCATAGTCCTTATCCACTTCTTATAACAGTATTATTATTTTTAGAATATATAACTAAATTATTTTCATTTATATGTATTCTGCTAAATGTTATCTCGTTGATGCCGGATATGCGAATACACAAAACTTCCTAGCTTTATTTAGGGCTGTTAGGTATCACTTGAAGGCTTATGGTCGGGGAATTTTAGCCCCACAAAATACAAAGTAGCTCTTCAACCTTCAGTATTCATTGCTTCGGAATATTGTTGAACATGCATTTGGCGTGTTGAAGAGACGATTTCTTCTTTTAAAAGTGGCAACAACATATCCTTATAAAACAGAAGTTAAGATAGTCGTTGTTGCTTGCACCTTTACATAATCATAGCCCAACTATAACTGGTGGTGACAATTGTCTCCATGAAGAGTATGATAGGGATCTTGAACTTGAATCAATTGAATGAAAATAATTTGAGATCAGTTTGATATAACAATGTAAACCCTTTGGATGATAAAAATGATGTTGATGAATTGCTCACCGTTGAGCCCAAAGTGGCACACAAATATGATTTATTGTAATTGTGTTTTCCATTATACTCTTTTGTGGCAACTTTGCCTACACTTTGAATTATAATAATACTTGGGTTGTCATTCATGGGTTATAGATTTGGTATAAAGCTCTCTTATCTGCAATTATATTTGTTCATTCTCCTCTTTATGCCCATGGAATAATTTATTTTTTTCCAAGTTATTTGTTTATCAATCCCATGAAAAAAACGAAGTTAGAATCAAGGCTGGTTAAACTTTATATAATGAAAAAAATAAAGAAAAAATACGAATTTAAAATGTGTTACAACTCATCCAAACATACATATCTATCAAATAAATAAAAAAAGTTGTATATTTTAATTGACAACCAAACAGTCTACCAACATAATAAAATAAAATGGCAATATTTTCAATTGGGGAAAAAAAAATTGCAAATTTTTTCAATATGAATATTGTTTTCTTAGACATCCAAACTGACCCTAAAATATCACACTTTTTTTGTTTCTCTGTGTAAAATGCGTGCATTCCTCCACAAAATTCACGAGTGCTCTATTTGTTACATTGGGCTACAACATCACTAGAAAACCTCTTATTCTCTTTAGACATGAAAAATATAGACACCATATTAAAGAAAATAAGAAACAATGGATTTAATTGTCCTAATTGATGCTTAAAACTTTCTTTTTCTTCAAAGTTTTCTGTAATTTGTCCGCAATTCTATCTCTATATTTGGCTTCCTCTCGAAATATGAATTGTAAGTATTTTTGTCGAAGGCCTCTTTGCTTTTCCTTCAAGATTCAAAATCCAACATGATGAGAACAATTATCACAGCAGTTTTAAGAAAGTGGGAAGTTTTTGCCCAACCGCCACAAATACTGGAACCTTGTGTACAACACCTTTTTGACATGGGTGTGGTTTGTATAAGACTGAGGCTCTAAATAATGATGCAAGGCGCATTTTTAAATAGTGTCCAAATATGTTATTTTGATACATTATAATAAGTTGAAATTTTATCTATTTTTAATTATAAATTTTAAAGATTCAAAAATAGTAAAGATCAAGCAAATCTATGAACACTTAAAAATCTTGAAAATTGACGGTCTAGATAATACATTACAAGATGTACTATTTCAAGACTCGAAATCTATTTTTTCTCATATTCATACGTCTTGAGATCGAGATGATCTGATTGATGGGCTTTCAGCATAGAAACAACCTCTTCCAGTGATTTTTAAAGTTTGCCATAATTTGATTGTTTAGGGCCTCACCTTTATACAAATTCTTCCTTTCGACATATGTCATATAAGAATACAAATTCTCTCTTGGTGCCCAGGGACATAATTCCTAATCAATATGTGGCTTTAATGTAAGTAATTCTTCCACCAAAAAAGAGGTGTTTTACTTCCAAGCAGACCCGAGTTTCTAAACCATGGCATCGTACTTGTTGAACTATGATGCAAAATTTAAGAGTAGGGGTCGCGTGTCTCTCTCTTTTAGTGGATGGATTTGTATCGGTAGTTATGGATTATGGTGGGAGTTGTCTTCTACTCTGTCTCTCTGTGGCGGGGTAGTTATATAAATAGAAGGTTATGAGTAGTAATGGGTGGTTATTCAAAGTGGTGTCTTGGTGGCTAGTAGTGCAGTGGATTTTAAACTGTTTGTGGGGCCTTTAAATAGGCACAACCTAATGGAATGTATGGGCACCTTTAGTTTGAGTTTATCTTTCTAAGCTTGTGCTTATTCAAAAACTTTTGTTTGAGAAAAAGTGTTACTAGTAGCAACATATTTTAAAAAATAACCTAACAGTTTTTAGTATCAGAGTACAAGTTGCCAAAAAGATATTAGTATCAGAGTACAAGTTGCCAAAAAGATAGGCATTGGTATAGAGGTTTATTGTTTGGACAAGGAGATTTAAGACCAGCAGTATAGAAGCAAAACTCAAAGGAAAGAACATAACAGTTTCTAGTATCAGAGTACAACTCAAAGGAAAGAACATAATAGGGTGTAGTATCAAGGTACAACTCAAAGGAAAGAACATAGCAATTTGTAGTATCAAGATAGGCATTGGCATAGCGATTTATTGCTTGGATAGGAGATTTAGGACTAGCAATACACAAGCAAAACTCAAAAGAGAGGTGATAGAAACTTAAATATTTTTATTTAAATTTACGGCTCATTCCAAATGGCAAACAATAGTAGTCCATCAAATATTTCTCGATCATCAATTCCAATTTTCAAAGGTAAATTTTATGAGCATTGGAGCATTAAAATAAAAACATATTTCAGTTTCAAGATTTATGGGGTGTGGTTGAGAGTAGTTATGTAAAGGCTGGACTTACTGCAACCCAAAGGACAAAGATAAGAGAAAAAAAAAAAGGTTCGAAGGCATCATTTTTCATACATTATGCAGTTCATAAGTCAATTTTTCAAGGATTTCTTGTGCAACGTCATCGAATGAGGCTTGGAGTATTTTGCAAAAAAAGTATCAAAGAACGAATAACATAAAACAGCAAAACTCTAATCATTTTGATGAGAATTTAAAACTTTGCTTATGAAAAATAATTAGACAATTCATGATTTTCTTGCTAGGATGAAAACAATAGGGCATCAAATGAAATCATTAAGACAAAATCCTTCGAAAAAAATATAGTTGAAATTTTTTTTAAGATGTTTGCCATCTAAATTTGATCATGTGTCAAGAATCTAAAGACTTAAATGTCTTTTCGCTTGATGAACTAATAGGCTCTTTGTCAAACAGGTCAATGGAGAAAATCGAGGAGCAAATATTTCAATTTAAGGTGGAGTCATCCTCAAAAATTAAAACACTTTTGAGAGATATGCAAGTAGTGGATGTAGAAGAGGTAAGGTAGAGGCAGAGGAAAAGCAATATATGGTTACTTGAATGACCAAAGAAATTCACCTAGTGAGAAAATAAAAACAATGCTAATAAAGGAAGTAAAAATACAAAAAGCATTTAATGTTTCTATTGAAAAAACTTTGCTCATTTGAATGTCTTTATGCATTTTTGGACCGTCAATTTTCCAGATTTTCAAGTTTTTTTAGTTCACAATCCACACTATTTTTAAAGCTTAAAATTTTATAATGAGAGATGAAAATATACTTTAAAGCTATCACAAAGATTTTCAATATTGATACCACATTTCTCGATAGTATTTCAAAGTGGGCTTTATTTCATATGGCCGGCCGGTTTTGAGAAGCTATGTCAAATGGGCGTAGTACTCCCAAGCATCACAATTTTAGCATGTTAAGTCAAGACATCCACATATAAATATAAGCGGTCCCAAGACCTGCGATGATCCATGTTGGCTTGCAAAATAATAAACCAAACCAAAAAGAAAGAGTGCATAACATTCTAAGTACATATCATCTCTGGCATGAGACCATCTTAGGTTGCAAATTAAACTAAAAACAAACTGAAAGACACTGTTTTCAATGTGTAAGCACGCCACCTCCACCACTCAAACCCCAAAACCCATGGTGGCAAGCATTGGGGTGTGAAATTGGTTTTACTCTTCAATTATACAGATCATCTTCGTCCACGGTACCACCCGATACGCCAAATGCCTCAGCACCAGAAACCCCCGTAGAGGCATCAGGACGCTCAGGGAAGCGGAATTCGCTGCCAAAGCCCCGCGATTGCTGGAGTGTGGATGCAAATGTCTGGTACTTGCGAATGTCAGCATCACTCACACTGCGGCGAGCATACTTCATCGATTCTTCAAAGTGGCATGCCTTGATCTCCGCCACCTCTTCCGTGTCATCCTCCTCCATGGCCTCTGGGTTCTCTCTCCTCCGCCTCTCTCTCTCTAGATCCTGGACACCCAAAACATACACCCACAAATTTGGAGGTGAGAATCCCTAGTTTGGGCCAAAATAATAATAGTACTCAAAACTGAATTCATTGCATGCCTAACAGATATCATGCAGCCAAGAGATGCAAGCATGGTTAAGGTTTTTACCTTCTCGATGTTCTCCCGGATTGCGTACTTGCATGCACGTTGGCAAATCTCAGTAATATCAGCACCACTGAAGCCCTGAGTGTACTTAGCAAGGGCATTGAGATCAACATCTTTAGAGACTGGAGATTTTCGGAGGCAGGCCTTGAAGATTTGAAGGCGTGAGCTCTCATCTGGTAACGGAATGTATATCAACTGATCAAGACGACCTGGCCTCAACAAGGCTGGATCAATGATGTCGGGCCGATTGGTTGCTCCAATAATAAAGACAGTTTTCTTGGCCGACATGCCATCCATTTCGGTAAGAAGCTGATTCAACACCCTGTCTGCTGCACCACCAGCATCTCCAACGCTGCTCCCTCTCTGCAATTACACACATTTGTTTTTTTTTTACAATGTTTACTTGCATTGAGGTAAAAAGAAAATACAAGGGTTGCCCTCCCACAAGGAGTGGTGAAGGACAGTAATACCCTTTACAGGGCAACAGAAATAGAGACCATAACAGGGCAGCAGAAGTACAAATCTATAATAGGATCACAACCAAACTAGGTGATCTACGGTTGACAGTCCACAGAATTTGAGCCCAGAGCTCCAGATTTGGCTAGAGAGTCACCGATGGAGTTGGCCTCTCTCCATGTATGCCTCCAAGCGATTTGCATGTGGGAGCACCTACGTTGGATTTCATCAAACACGGACTCTGGCCTCCAAGGGCACTGGGTAGGGGTAGAAGCTCAAGCGATAACATTGGCAGAATCTCCTTCGATCACCAGAGAGTTTCCCCAGTAGTGTCGAACGCCAGGAAGGAGGGCCATTGCCTCTGCCTCGGTAGAGTCTGAGCTACCGATGGACCGCTCAAAGGTGAGGAGGGTGCGACCGGTATGGTCGCGATAGATGCCACCCACACCCGAGGGGTCCAGGATTGCCCAGGGAGCAACCATCGAAATTAAGCTTAATGTACCCTGGAGAGGGAGGTAACTAAGAGGCCGATCTGGGAACTTAGGTAGGCCTTAACTGAAGTATAGCCTTCCAATTTGGGTGGAAGTCCGCCACTAAGAAGCACTTAGAAAGGTTTAGAGTTGGTTGTCCAAAAGATGACCAAAGATCTCACCTTTTCCATCAGCATGACAGGACTAGAAAATTCTCCCCTAAAGATTCTCTGGTTCCTTTCCAACCACAGAATCCAGAATAAGGCTGCCACATAAGCTTTCCAAAGAATAATACCAGATCTAGCCCACGGGGGTGAAACGTAAGAAGGGGAGCTGTGGAACAGTCTGAGGAGTGACCCAAACCCAGCCAAAAAGATGGAGGATAGAGCTCTAGAGGAAAGATGCTATCTCACAATGTAGAAAGAGATGAGCATTGGTTTCAGCTTCTTCTTACACATGATGCACCTGTTGGGTAGTTGTAGGCCCCTTATTTGAAGATGGTCCACGGTTAAGGCCCTCTCATGGGTGGTAATCCAAATAAAGAAGATGATTTTAGTGGGAGCCAGAGAATCCAGGGCCTTAGCAGCAACGTGGGAAGGAGAGGAGGAGGGGGGGGGAAGGAGGACAAGATGAGAGCCTTATAAAAAGAGGGAACCGAAAACACTCCTGAAGGGGAAAAGGTCCAGATCACCTTATCGAAACCCGGAGGAAAAAATTGTGGAGCAGGGTCTGACATTTGTTTCTTTAGAGCAGTAAAAGTGAGGAACTTGCAAGTAAAGTTTCAGGAGCCGAAGCAGTGGCATGAAATCATCAAGTACAAGAGCATCAAAATATATTTTGAACAGTCTAACATACATGTGATGGGACGAAATGCAGAGAATAACCAATAAAACAAGAAAGTCCGAAATGGATGATGAAAGGCCACAAAGTTTGAAACGTAGGAACTCACAAGAATAATGCAGTCAAATATAAGAAATAATGAACAGTCAATACCAAAATAACTACCCCAGTAATTCAAATGAACTAAGCCAAAATTTGAAACTACCCTAGTTATAAACTAGCCACCACAAAACTGAGACAAAGGCATTATGGCATGATATGTTATCTAGATGATGAATTGACTCAGACCAATACACAGAATGACACCACAAACAACTGGATCCAAAACGCAGGTTTTCTTAAGAGTAGGGCATACCTGAGTAGCAATGGAATCCAACTCATCAAAGAAGAGGACACAAGGGGCAGACTGGCGGGCCTTGTCAAAGATTTCCCGCACATTAGCTTCACTCTCTCCAAACCACATCGTAAGCAGCTCGGGACCCTTGACACTAATAAAGTTGGCTTGGCATTCATTGGCAATGGCCTTGGCAAGTAGGGTCTTACCGCAGCCAGGAGGTCCATAGAAAAGAACCCCCTTCGAAGGTGACATTCCAAACTTCTCAAACTTCTCTGGATGCTCCACAGGATATTGAACAGTCTAACAATCCCATAAGAAATGGAATTAATTATATAGAAGTTATAAACTAAAATAAGTTCTCCAAAAAGTGTGTGATAAGATTAAACATGACAACTAAAATATGGCAAGCAACTTATAGAAAACACAAGTGACAAGGTGACCCACAAGTATGACTAAAGACAAATGTTATGAAGGGAGGTGTTTTACCTCTTGCAGCTCTCTCTTGACGTTCTCCAGACCACCAATGTCTTCCCAACTCACATTGGGTACCTCAACAACCTATTCAAGGAAATCAGACGGTCAGGGGCCTAAAACTAGGGATATGCCAGCATAAGGGGTATTATCTAAATGACCATAAAATTTGAAAAAATATAGGAGCTCAAGATCCACTCACTGTTTCACGAAGGGCAGATGGGTTGCTTGTCCCGAGAGCAGTCTTGAAGTGCTCATCAGTAACAGCCATTGAATTGAGTATTTCTGCATCAATGGTTTCGTCTTCCAAGTCAATTATATCCATCTTCTCCCTAATGCATTGGAGAGCAGCCTCAGTGCACAAAGCTGCAAGATCAGCTCCGACATATCCATGAGTATCCTTGGCGATTCTCTCCAGATCAACCTGTGGGACCATAACGAATCAGATATTCCCAATTCCAAATATGCAAAACAAAAACTAGCCATCAGTCCCAATGAAGTTGGACTTAAAAAAGTGGGCCCTCCAGGACATTCATCCAGGTGCTCACCACCATAAGTCATTGGAATTGACAGAAGATGTCCCAATGACAAACCATGTATAGTAAGATCAACTATAAATAAAAACAAAAAAACAAGTTGGTGGCAAAATTGGTTACATCTTCAGCAAGCTTCATGTTCTTGGTGTGGATGCGAAGCACCTCAAGCCGCCCAATTTCATCAGGAACACCAATGTCAATTTCCCTATCAAACCTTCCAAACCTTCTCAGAGCAGGGTCAATACTGTTTGGCCTGTTCGTGGCTCCAATGACAATAACATGAGCACGAGATTTTAGCCCATCCATAAGTGTAAGAAGCTGAGAAACAATTCTCCTCTCAACTTCACCATGGGTTTTCTCTCTCTTAGGAGCTATGGAGTCTATCTCGTCGATGAATATTATAGATGGCGCATTCTTCTCCGCTTCTTCAAAAGCCTTCCTAAGATTGCTTTCACTCTCCCCAGCTAGTTTGGACATGATCTCAGGCCCATTGATACAGAAGAAGAATGCACCAGTTTCATTGGCGACTGCCCTTGCTATCAAGGTTTTCCCTGAACCAGGAGGCCCATAAAGGAGGATACCCTTCGGTGGTTTCACACCAATAGATTTGAATAGTTGTGGATGCCTCAAAGGAAGCTCAACCAATTCCCTAATCTGAGCCATTTGTTTCCTAACACCACCAACATCATCATAACCAACTTCATCAAGTCTCTCCTCATCCTCCCTTTTTACAGGCTCCCCTTCACAAAAGATCTCAGTATCTGGAGAAACCACACAATACTCTGCAGGGTCGGTCTCAATCACTTTGAATTCCACACTCCTCATACCACCCCTAACAAGGAAAAGATCTCCTTTCCTTACTGGACGATATGCCTCCAAGAAATAAGCTGCATAAATTTAACCAACTAAATGAGTTCTTCATATCACAAGATTTATTGAACTCCAAATCAGAACGAACAGCATGTCTATTAATTTGAAAGAAATAAATCCACAATAAAAAGAAAAACAACATAAATCATTCAAGGTTCAATTTGAACCATCCAAAACATGGGAAAAGTTCAGGCCAAATTAAAACCCAAACAAAACAGCAGCAGTATGTTCGAAGATTGTTCGAGAACATAAAATAACTTGAGTTAATACACTTCAAAGAAATGGTGTTACTCAGAGAAAGAAGAGAGGAGAATGAAACTCAGATCGGCACATTGTAGCAGTCCTTGGTTTCTAAGTGCCTTTCATTTTATTTATTTTTCATCTTTTTCTTTCGTTGTGACTTCGATTTTATTTATTTTTCATCTTCTTCTTTCGTTGTGAGTGTGCAGACGCAGTTCTCAAACCCTTACAAAAGTACGGATTTTCAACAATGCAATATGTATATCAGTATTATGTTTCAACGTGATAAGAACATCAGCCAGGGATTCAAGACCTCAGCTCAGACTCGCCGAGTCACTTGGACAAGTCTGATACGAATCAGAGGAGACTCGGTCGAGACTTTGACTCAGGCTCAAGACTCTGGTAAGTCTGAGCCTGAATCCAGGCCTTTAATCACTGTCAGAAGGAAACGTGAAGAATACTTAAAAATTAACTAATGTTTTCAAAAATATATCTGGCTGCAAGATTGAATCATAATTCCATGTGATTAATTGGTAGCATTCATACGCCAATGTATTATTGAAGATTTTCTCTAGAAGATACAACAGTAGTGAAGCTCAAGAAAAGCATCAAGTCAGGAACAAAATAAATAGTTTTTAGTTAAATCACTTGTTGCATATTGTGAAGTTGTAATGAGAATATAGTGGAAGTTATGAAGAAGACATCCAACCATTTATGCTCATATTAAACCCCAGCGTTGCTTGATGAATTTAATTTAAAACTTACAGAACATAAAATTCCATATAAGAAAGCAAAAACATTCATAAGCAGCAGTTAAACTAAATCATTGCACAAATTGAAAAAGGGCAACTTTCTTGGAAAAAGCAACACGAAGTTAAAAGAATGGTGATGACAGAATACTAGAAAAATAATGCGCAGACAATATTTTTGAAACTGGCAACAGGTAAGAAGTACGCAGCCACTAATGAAAGGATAGAGGCTTCTGGATTACAATGGTTAGACTTCAATAACATTCTCTGAAAGGTCAACAATTAGGCACAAAAAGCATTAAATGAAATTCCAATAATGAAGGAACAAATGGGAGTCAATTAGGTAGGTTGTGGAGGGACAGCAATGGGGAATCACAAGTGCATCTAAGCTTGCCAATGGAAATCAGCAAAATAGACCAGTACACTATAGCTACATCAGGAATGCGTAGTAGTCATATGTTACATGCAAGATGAAGACTCGCTCTTATTTCGTCGGAAGCAATAGAGGACAGAAAAGTAAAAGAAAACCACGATATAGAGAAGAAAAAACAGGAAGACTTACAGGCCATGAAACACAAAATACAGTACATTTATCATAGATTTTTAGTAAATATTCAATAATAAAAAAAGGTACAACGATTTAACCCTATGAAAGGGAAGAAATACGAGCAATATTGTCACATTTGAAAATCATTCTAACTAAATATCACTACTAAGAAAAATCCAAGTATTTGCATTAAGATAGATGAAAGAGAATCACAAGCTAAACTTCGAAGAGCAAGGATATCAACAACTAATTATACTATTCCAAAAAGTGGCTGCAAGAACAAAAATTTAAAAAGATAATCGAAGAAAATAACTCACGTTTGAGATAAGCATCAAATAGATTTCCAGTAACGCCCTCAATTGTATCATCAATTGGTAGAATATGGACACGCTTCCCATACTTAACATCTGGGCACTGGTGCACTGAAACCACATCCCCAAGACGAACCCTAAGATTGGACCTCACAACTTTGTTCATCCTGATCTTAGGCTCATCACAGGTCTCGTCAGCCAAAGCAATGCAGATTGTATCCCTCCTCTTCTTACCCTAGAAAAAAAGTACAACAACATTCAGAACATGTTTTTTTTTTTTTTTGGACAACAATATTAAGATGGAAACACTCAAAATTCAGTTTTTTTTTTTCTTCTCTCTCT